GACTAATGCTACTTATGCGTGTGTTATGGTCAACCGTACTAGAACTATGTATCTAATACTAATGGATACTGGTGGTTGATTATGGGCTCGATCAACCCACATAACCCGATAAACTCAACTCAACCAGCACAAACCATTTCTATCACATCACTTAATTCAACATGGGTTTTCTTGACTAACCATAGTCTTTCCCACTCTAGGTATATATTAGTAAATAACTATTGAATATATATTCTTATACGTCAAAAAAAAAAAATTTTTTCTTCAAACCTTTTTAAGGGATATAATAATGCTACTGCAGTATGTAGAGAGTTTTCTCAGGGTCAGTTTCATTAATGTTTGTGCGTCTTTGGATCGCAAAATGTGTCATTATTGGTACCTGTTTTAGTGGGTTAGTCAAAAGAAACTTCTCAAATAAAGAGCGCCGTCTACTCTTCTCTGTGTACTTTCCTGGTTTGTTTGTCACTTCTGTCAGTTTTCATTCTATCAAGGACATGGGGAATGGGCTTGTAAGGCTGGGAGAATTGATTATTGTCGGGCTATTGGAGTCTGTCGATGACCTATCAATCTTAGTGACCACTCCGTTGGTTGGAGATTATTCTCTCATGAATATACTTTATGTATTATGATTTGATTTTCATCCTTTAGTGTAGTCATAATGGCTTCCTCTTAATAACTAGGTGAAAATCAACCTTAGTGATGAGGTCATCCGCCAGTCTGGCTAATGTCTTAATTACTTGTGTTACGGTTAGGCGTCCCCATATGTAGACAATAGAGGTCTGATCTACCCAGATAACCCGATAACTAATCAAAGCTTTTAGTTTCTCTGATTCATCATCGAATAAGTATGGATTTGTGCTTAATTCTTTGTGGCATCTCGTCAAGAAATATTGTTAATAACTAGGTTTTATTTTTTGGTTTAAGCTTTATTATTTAGTTAAGGAGCTACATAGAAAAGTTTTTTCGATACTTGAATTCCACATCATTGCGCTACCTAGCATTCCCAGTAGGTCTTCTCCCTTGGACTCAAGCAGAAAGACTCGTTTATGCCTTGACCACCGCTACGAATACTGGAGAAGTGTGCTTTTGCTGCCAATCGAAACAACCAGGCTTCACATTCCATTTCTTGCAATCCAATCGAACCACACCTGTGCATGAACTTCTCGTATAAGAGGCTTTACTAAAAGATTGTGTAATACAAAGTGCAAACGAGCGTTGCATTCGCTTAATTTGATTATTTTTGTCCGGTATCCGGGCACGTGACAGAAGAAACAACTGAATTAAAAAAAATAAAAAATTGAAAAGATGTCGAAAGTCAAAAAAATAAAATAAATAAATAAAATAAATGAAAAGATAAAAAAATAAGAGATAAAAAAATAAGAGATAAAAAAATAAAAGTAAAAAAAATAAAAAAATAAAATATTCATAAAGAAGGAAAAAAAGAAAAAAAAGTAAAAAAGATAGCGAACAAGATAAAAATAATCAATTGTTCAACAATAATCAATCAAAAAGCAGAATGATATCACATTAGGAAATCAACCTGCCCCGAAACAACAGTAAAGTGCACCCTGTGCAAACAAAATTTCATTTTCGAATATCTGTCTATCTGAAGGTAGTTGTGATGCAGAAATCTAGGGCTATGCTCAGCTTGTGTCAAAAACTATTCTTTTCAGGATTTGATGTTTAAGGGGTTTTGAGACTTTGAACCTGAGACATTTAAAATTAGCACGTTTTCGATCAAAAAAAAAAAAAAAAAAAAAGAATTGATTTAATTATCAACAACTTTTAACTTGAGTTGTTCCTTTTTATTCACTCGTTTTCTTGTTTCAATATTGTTGTGTTGTTAATATGATTAGTGTGCTTAACCGAAAGAGGATTATCTACGCATTTTTAATAATTTGGATATTGAGTGTTAATATTTGGATATATTATTATAAGCAAGAAGCATCAATTACATCATTTGAAGATAAATTGAATGACGATTCGAATGTATTTGATACACCAAAACAATCAGGGGAAGAAGTGAAGAGTGAAGAAATAATAAATAATTTATTGGTTCAACTTTACCAAATACAATTTGGAGTTAAAGATTTGAAAAAAGTTAAATCTCATTCAACAAATTATGATGAGATATTTAAAAATCATGAAATCAATGGATTATTGAAGAAATTGAACTTTCAACAAAGATGTGATTTATACTTTAATAATTTATATATAAAGGATATAAATTGGAAGTTGAATCCAAATAAAGATTTTTTTCTTGAATCAAGACATTCATTTGAATTTGAAAGCTTCAGAAAAGAAAAAACTAATCAAGTCAAAGAAACCATTGCTAAAGAAAAAAACATTGCTAAAGATGATGTTAAACTAGATGAGGAGTTTGAAAATAAAATAAAAAATTTATATAAAGAGTTTTGGCTGAAGACAATGGATTCGGAACAAGGTATGATGGATTATGTTACTCATTTGAAAATTTTCAACAAATGTTATATAACTGGTGATAATACTCCTCAAATGGTTAAAACTGATAAATTCATTAAAAATCAACAAAATTTCATCGATACTACCACTACTCTACAAAAATTTATAAAACCTTTCCAATATTCTTCCAATGAATTAAAATCAAATCTTGATTCTTTCACTTCTTGTCTTGATTTAGAACGTCGTTTGTATCCTTGGCTATCCTTTTCTTATCCTGTTTATCAACGTTGGAATGGTGAAACTTTATACAGTCCTCCAAATATGAAAAAGTATATTAAACATCAAGAACCTTTTCAACCAACTAATAATGATGCTCATAATGGTAAAGGTGGTTCTAAATTTCCAAATTCAAAATTAACTAATAATAAAAATTGTTTCTTAAATCAATTTAAAAATAAAATGAATTCAAAAGGTATTGTTTTATCAATTGGTGATGCTCATGTTGAAGATACAGTTAATTTCATTCATTTATTAAGAGCTTTAAATAATCATTATCCAATCGAAATTGTTTATTATGATTCATTGTCAGAAGAATCAAAGGCAAAATTGGTTCATGCTGCTCAAGATCAATTTAGTGCTTTACCCCAACTGTTTAATAAAGTTTCCCAATTTTTCCCCGATGATTATTTAGATGAAAATGATGGTGGTTTACCAAAACAAGAATTATGGTTTGTTAATGCTTATAATGTTATTCATGATGATTTTAAACATAAATTTAAAGGTTTTTCAAATAAATTTATTGCTACAATGTTTAACTCTTTTGAAGAATTTATTTTGGTCGATGCTGATACTATTCCAGTCCAAAATATGAATTTTTTCTTTAACTTGAAAGGTTATAAATCAAAAGGTGCTTATTTTTTTAAAGATCGTTCTGCTCCTGAATTCAGACCTTTATCTGATGCTACTTTTTTCAAAAAATTAACTCCTTCAATTATTGATAATTTAATGTTCGATATCCCACTTTTAACTGATCATACTTTTAACTTAGATTTTTTTCAAGGTATGGGCCATTTAATGGAAAGTGGTTTAGTTGCTATCGATCGTAATTTACATTTTAATTCAATTCTTATGATGATTCAATTAAATTTCTTTAAACCAGTTTTGCAAAGAGTTTATGGTGATAAAGAAATTTTTTGGTTGGGTTTTGCTATCAATGGTGATGAAGGTTACACTTTTAATAAATACTTTGCCGCTTCTATTGGTGAAGAAACTCCAGCTAATGATCGTTTAAAACCTGATGGTAATCCTTCTATAAGTCGTGAAGTTTGTGGTGCTCATCCTGGTCATATAAATGGTGAAGATGGTAAATCCTTAGCTTGGTTCAATTCAGGTTTTAAATTTTGTGGTCAATATGATAAAACTGATTTCAAAGCTGATTTTGATAAAAAACAGCATTTAAAACATCTTAAATCAATTGAAGAAATGAAAATTTTCTATCAAAATCCTTTGATTTTGAAAAATGCAGTTATTCCTCCTTTCAAAAATAAATTAGAAACTTACTGTGATAATATCGTTAATGAACCAAATAGAGGTTGGGTCATGCAATCCTATTGTAACCAATATCTTTGGTGTGCTTATTCCTCAATTGGTGGAGCTACTAGAGAGGGTACCGACAATACTCAAGTTGGTCAATTCATCGAATTCGATAAACGTTCAACCGATTTATTTGCTTATTATGGTGATATTTGGGTTGGTAATGAATAAACTGCATCACTTTCTACACCCATTCGACATAAGTCATTGGTCTGCTTTTACATATATATATATATAATTTCCTTTTCTTTCCATTTTTTCTCATCTTCATTTCATTCATTAAAGGATCTAGGAGTTGTTAGGTTTTTTACCTAAAACAAAAAAAATAAAAAGTTTGAATTTTTCAAATTTAGTCTGTGAATTATTTACTCATTCAATCGTATTATTATCATTACCCTTATTGTTCTATTTGTTTTCATTAGCTTGCTGTTTTCATTGGTTTACTATTTTCATTAGTTTACTGTTTTCATTTTCTATCTCACTATTTATTTTCCCAATTGTATAATCTTATAGACATTATTTTAGAATACATTTTTGTTTTTTTATTCCTAATTCCGATTTAGATTAATCAGCTGTCTCATCTTATCTAAGTTCGGAGTTTCCGTATCTTCTTTATCAACGGTTTGTTGTAAACGGATTTTAGAGTATTGTTATCAAACCCTCGATTTTCTGCCATTAAAGTTCCAAACAGGGTATGGTCTTCCGCATCACCCCTCGATAAGGGACCAACGTTTATAACGAATAACTGACTTTCATCATATATAAATACTGATTTAATTGTTTTTTTGATTAAAAAACAGTTTGTAATAACTTTGGTTATCCAAACACCATGACAGTCTCTTATACTCAATTCTTAACAAAGGAAACTTTCGAAAGCTACGAAAATTCCGAAAAATATGCTAAATTTGTCCCAAAGCTTAAAGCATATAGGCAAAAATTGGAAGATGCAATCCTTCCTGAATATAGTATCGAATTACCTGATACAATTGAAAGTTTGAAGAACAAGCAGTTTAATTCGGTGAAGTACTTGTACGAACATAAATTGCTCAGTGAAACGGAATTCAATATCACCGATACTCCAGCTTCTGAATTGGTCCCTAAATTGGCTAAAGGTGAGTTGACTGCTGTTGAGGTCTTCAAGGCTTTTGCT